TTGATTTTATTCCATCTACCAAATTCACGTTATAGCCTACCCTTGAAAATAAAGTTTTTGTACTTTAAATCACCTTGAAATACTGATGATAGTCTTTAATTTTTGTTAAAATATATTTAAAAAAAACCCAACACATAATCCTTCGTGCAAATAAACAAAAAAAGAAAAAAAAAAATGCATGAGCAATAATCAGTTTACCCAATGAAGCTCCAAAAAATATGATACCAACAACATAAACACCCAAAATTGCAGCAAAAATAATACGAAAAAAATATGGATTCTACACAATCAATCAAACAACCCCAAAATTAATAAAAGTAAACAATTTTACCTTGTGAAATATTAAAAAAAAAAAGATAAGAGTGCTGCAGAACACAAATTTGCGAAATTTGGTGACGAACATACCATTTGAGATGAGACTGACGATGAGAAGCACAAAAACCCTAGATTCAACTCTTCTAAAAGAGTTTGATGGGCCAGAAACCACCCACCGTTTTCTTGCGCCGGAAACGTTGGACCGATTTAGATGCAGCCGCCATGGTTATGGTGATTTGTTTGTTTCTCTTCGAAGGAGTTCAGATTGCGCGAGAAAGAGGGACAACATAAGAACCTAAATAAGTGTAGAGTAGATTTAATGCCCAGATTAAATTATGGAAAAAATGAATGACAAAAAAAATCGTGTGAGAGTTGGGGAGAGAGAGAGAGAGAAAAAAAAAGAAACACCACCCCCAACAAATCAGATGCTCACTTTCAAATTTTATCCCAATAAATTAGGCCCCGTTTTTGTGGATGCAAGTTTTAACAAATTAACAAACTACTTTGATATTGAAGCAAGATTCTCACTTTCAATTTTTATACCAACAAATCAGGCCCCTTTTTTTTGCTGCAAGTTTTAACAAATTAACAAACTAATGTGATATTGAAACGATTAATGCGGTCCGTGATTCAAGCTTAAATTAAAAAAACATTGCCATTAATAGTAACTAATTAATGTGTATAAATTTGACCAGGATTTTGACTTGCTATTTTTAAAAATGGTAAATCTGTTTATATATATATAGATGCCATAAGTATTGTCCAGAATAACTTAAAAAATGGTCGTCTAACGTGTTAGAAAAAAGGACAAGTGCATCATGGTGTTTCCATAATCCAATGTTTTGATCGACATTACAAATATCGACACGATTATATTGCATTTGGTACGCAACCGATGTAAATATAATGATATGTTCAACTCGACTAGTATTATGATTCAGAACACAAAAGCATTCCATAATCCAATGTTTTGATCGACATTACAAATATCGACACGATTATATTGCATTTGGTACGCAACCGATGTAAATATAATGATATGTTCAACTCGACTAGTATTATGATTCAGAACACAAAAGCATTGCAAACAGAGTAATGATAATTGGCAAGATGTATTTGAGATTTGACAGGGCATGACTTAACATTATGGGGAACTTGAAATTTGTTTATAAAACAAAACCGAACCGAACATATTTAATTATGAGGAAAAAAATTATAAAACCAAACCGAAACAAAGATAATTAATTATGAGGGAAAAACATAGATCACCAGAACTGCGGTACTGATTAGGAACGACAGAAAAAAACACTAATGCAGGTCCTCGGTGTTTTTGTTTCACACACTTTTCCGGTGATGGACCTAAAAGGGCATTGGTCAGGGCCGAAGTCGAGGTAAGAGATGCCTTCAAAATGCTCAGAGCCTACATTACATATAAGAACAACATTCAGTAACTAAAAAAAAAAAAAACTAGACTCTCATCATGAAAACAAATCGAATGGTTGAAATGAACACGCGATATATTGTCGTACCTTAGTTACCTCTTCCAATCCAATTTGTACACTAGTGTACAAATTGTATAAACTTGTAGGAAAAGTGCTGCTTCCAGAAAACGACAAAGCTCCACCAAGTGGGATCGTGAGCAAACTAAAGAGATAATCGGCAAAATCATCCTCCGCTTGCGCAAACAGTAACTTTTGTGTAGATTTTTGTATTATGACTTCCAGTATCATCATCTTCTCAGAGTTGGAAGCAGCTGCTTTCTCAGTCCTTGGTAAGAAAACTCCAGTTTGAACTTCAAAAAGTCGGAATTGCTTTGACCTTTGCCGATTATGACATGGGTCAAGGGAGTCCATGAAAACAGCATGCCTTTCAGCAAATCTATAATCTAATTTAAAGAACAAAGACAACAATAATTTCTGAAATGCAATTTCATATTTAGCTGAAAAAGGGACAAGCAGCTTAATATACAAGGATGAGATTCATAAAAGCTTTGAATTTTATTTATAATTTTAGACTTTCAGAAAGAATTGACCATAAAAAAACACGTAATTTAAGTTAGCTTATTACAATAGAATCAGGACTCGCCTCACTATGTCCGAACGTCACTTTCCTCATTTCAGCCCCTTTGATGTCCCTAATACCAAGCTCTGCCAGAGCCCTCAAGACCGACCCTGCCAGCGCCACACGCACATCATCACTGATTATAAAGGAAGCACCTTTCGTGCAAAACGCTCGATCATTGCCATGTTTAGCAGCCTCAACTGATATAAATTCTGTTTCAGTGGTCAACTGGTCATAGTTTTCCCACAACCACATGTAACAGTATCATAGTACATGCTGAAATTGTGCTTCCCACTGATTGAGTGCCCGCATGTAAAGTACTTGGTGGGCTCGGAATCACAAAGATTCAGCTTCAGCTTACGGCATTCTTTATAAAAAACGCTTCTCAGGTTTAGCAGCATTTGTTTACCGGCCTCTGTATGAAAATGGACATCATCAATATTGACAAGGCCACTGTACAAAGCAGTCAAGCTCCCGAATACTGGTTTGTTGTCTCCATAGCGTTTCATGACGATTTTCGCAATCTTTCCCAACGGCAATGTCAGGAAGCTCAACATAACGTCGATATAATCGCTGTCGGCTTCTGCAAAGAGGACTTTAGTTTTATCTTTAATTATCACGACTTTCAAAGCAAACTGGGCGAACGACTAAACGTCATTCTATTAGTCAGTCACAAGTCCATTGTACATTTTCAAGTTTCAATACAAATTCTCATGTGACTCGGCGAACGACTAAACTGATTGACCTGACATAATTTTCGAAATGGTGCATTTTTATTGTGAAATGCCATACTTTTCAATAGAAATGTCTAATTTTATGCTAAAATGATATATTTTAAAGGATAGCATAAAGAAACTATGACATTTCATAACATATGTATGCATTTTTATAAAAAAGAAGTATACATAACGAAAGATCATTACATCAGAATTTGTGTGTGTAAATATACATTCATTTTTTCTGTACAATATGGCATGCCAAGCCTTTATATATCATTTGTTGTTATTAAATGTGGGGATGAAGTTTAGAACGTGGAGTTTTGAATTTTGTGGGAATTTTAATTTACAGTGGAAATAGGGGAGTACAGAGGAGTTGGATGAAATTCCATTTTGTGGTGCCTGTTTGTGAATTCAGGCGATATGAAGTCATTCTCAATCATCGTAATTATAATCAACATCTCGATTTCTAGACGACACTTTTGCTTCAGTTCTGTGCTGGATATTATTATGCTCGACTGACCGTGAATGTGCTCACATAATACAGTATAATATTAGAGCTCTGAGAAGAGAAGCTGCCATCAAATCTGACATTCAAAAATGGCTGCAGTAAAGAAACTTTTTACAATCTGCATTCTACATCAGCTTCAAAATTCCATCATTTTATTCTATGTGTTCGTCATTTCTGATTCAAGCCACTAGCATTATCAATAGCTGTGGAAGCCCTAGTTCAGTATTAGGAGTAGATAAAACTAAAATATGTAATTTCATATACTCGCTGATAAGTTAACGACAAGAAGTTTCTTGAACAATGTGACATGAATCCAAAATATGCAAATACGAAAAGTAAGACATAGTCATGAAAACTATTGCACGACAAGCCCCAGCTCTGATCTTGTATAAATCCTCATCCCTCTTGCTTCGGTTGTTTCATTAAAAATGGAGTTATGAGGCCATCGGTTATGGCGCGAGACGAAGTCAGAGATGCTTTCAGTATGCTCAGAGCCTACACCAAAAAGTAAAACGAATTGATTATCAGGCTAAAAGGCCAAAACAGCATATTCATAGTCAAATGTTAATTATTTTCCAAAACATGAGCACTAACCTCTTCTAGGCCAACAACCAGCTCGAGTTCTTCGACATTAGATAATGGGATTTTGAGGTTATTGAGAACAGAAAGTCCAGTGGCTGAA